AATTTTTATATAATTTTATATTTTTAAAATTTTATTTATTTTGTTTAATTTTATTTAAATTAATTCACTTTATATATGTTTATTAATTTACATATAATATTAATATAATTCAAACTAATTCGATCTTAATAAATTTAATTCGAATAATATCCAATTAGTTATTAAGCTAGCATCATGTATATCAAAGCTGAGTTTTTTCAAAAATTAAGAAATCTATTTTTTTTGTCTTCAGGGAGTCCCTCTTAGATCCTATTAATACAACTGCCATGCCTCAAGCTATTTCAGTGTAGAAAAATTCTGCTAAAACTAAATCATGTTTTCGAAAATTGTTCACTCCTATTAAAGAAGATATGGATGAAACCTATTTTACTCGAATACTTGTAAGAGCATGGCCTACTGCTATACCAACTAATATGCAATTAGCATATACAATTACAGTATACCAAATAATGCTTAATGCTCATTATGAAAAGCTAACTATGAACAATGAAATTACAAAAAATAGACTAAATAAAAATATAGTAAGCAATATAGATTTAATTATAATTAATATACTTAAATTAATTCTAATATTTTAAATTTAATTAATAAAGAATAAGTTAGTAGCAAGCACAGCCTTTTGCCTACTCATACTGATGATAAAGAATCTTTAACTGAAGATGAAGAAACTGAACTAACAACATCAACAAGTAAGCAGGGTTGAAAATGTAAGAGGGTTCCTACATCTACTATTACTACTCAAAGCTCAAAAAAGAGAAAACGTGTAGCTATCTTTATATCTAATCCATCTTCAATATATACCATTGACATTGATCAAGAAATTTTGAACTTTTCTAATTTTGATCATCTAACTGAAGATATTTCAACTTCTTCTAATCTGCCTCCACCTCCTGAAGATACTAGTTATCAATCCTAACTATCACAAACTTCCAAATAAAATATAAAATTTTTTTTTAATTTTAATTTTATATATATATATATATTATTATTATTTTTTTCTATATATATTAATATTTTTTTATATAAGTTTTTATATTTTATATTTTATTTTTAATTTTATATTTTTTTTTATTTGTTTTTATTTTTTATATTAAATATATTCTTATTTCTTATATTATTATTATTTTAATTAAAATTAAAAATGATTTGCTATAATTTACATCTATTCAAATTATTTCATATTAATTCGAATTAATTTGATTTCATTTAATTTAATTTGATCTAAGCTATTATATTAATTGCAATTCAAGTTATTAAAATACAATTAATATTAATGCATAAAATAATTTCTATTTTATATTTTAAATTAATATTTGATAAACTTCAAAATATTATTATATAGAAAAGTCTAAATTAATTTGAATTCTTTAAAAATAGTTAAAGTAAATTTAAAATAATTTTTATTAACTATTTTTAATTATGTTAAATAATTTTAAATCTATTCGAATTAAATTAATTTGTTTTTAATATTTATTTTTATATAAAATATTTAATATTCTTTTTTATTAAATTAATTTAAGTTGTTATAATTCAAATTTAATAAATTAATTTAAATTATTTAAATTTTAAAAGATATATTTATTAACTAAATAATCATTATTTTTATCAAAACATAGAATTATATGTTCATAATTTTTAATTAATTCAATATCTATAATATTAAATAATTCAGTTTCTTTAAGTCTAGGACATTCATAATAATATAGATTATTTGTTTTCTTAAAATTATACCATTGAATTAATATGAGATTATTCACATTTTCTTTGGTTGTTTTGACTTTGATCAATAAATATATCTAAAATTAAATATTAAAAATTTAATATTTAAAATATTTTAAAAAAAAAATACAACTAATACCTGTTCATAATAAATTCCTTCATCTGTTAAATATTCAAATAGTTCTTCAGAATTCATAGCAACTGCTATATTGCTATATTAGGTTTTTTTATAAAAATTATCTGTTACTCTAATTATAGATCTATTTTCTAAAGTTACTGAGCTATATATTTGAATTATATAATTATTTATATAAATTTGATTTGTTGAACTATAATATGGAATTAAATATTTTAATAAATGTTCAAGTCCAGAATATATTTTAGAATTTGGTCTATAATTTTTTAATTTGTGATCAATAAATTCCTGAGCATTATTTAAACCAAATGTCCAAATTAAATTAGTAAATTTAAAAGGATTTATAGTTTTAGAGTTTTTGGGTTTGCTTAATAATAATTTTGATGCAATAGCCTGTCTTTGAACCTATTTAATATAAATAAATTTAGTTAACTTTTATAAAAATATTATAAATATTATTAAAAAATTAAACAATACTTACTATTTTCATTATTTGATCTTCTTTTTTTTTTAAATTTAGCAGCCATGTCTTAACTTTATTCAAACAATTTGCAAAGCAAACTTTTTATATTCAAATTTACATTCTCATGTATTTGACTATTAAGCTGAAACTCATCTAATTACCTAAATAGTATCTATATACAGTATGCTATAATTAGTCTTTTAAATTCATACTATCAGATTCAGTTACCTAAACCCTTCTGTACTTCAGATAGTCTCAACAACCCAAAAAACAAAAAAAATTGTTATTATCTATAAGCTTTAAAGCTAACTAACAAAGAAAATTTTGCTTCAAGTTAAAAACTTTATTAGGTAGTAATATAATAGAATAGGCTATATAAAAAAAAAGAAATGAAGAAAAACAAAGTGCTCTTTAACCTGAACCAGGTTCAAAAATATTTAGTCAGCAGACTTATAACCTATCTCAAATTATTCTCTCTCTAACTCAAATTCAATTTATATCTCACCTACACCCACTACAACACAAATTAACTACAATCAAACAATTAACATAAAGTGCAAATAATCTCGCATTAATTTGATAGTATAATTTTAAGAAAATAAATAATCTATATTATTATGGATATCCTAGACTTAAAGAAACTGAATTATTTAATATTATAGATTTTTTTTTTTTTAACTTAGGTAATCTTGTTCTTCATTTTATTAAGAAAATTACATCACATGTAATAAAGCAAATACAAAAAATCAAAAAGATATAAATCTATTCTAATCTTAAGACTGCTTTTTTTTTGCAATTCTGAACTTACTCAGCTGCTCTCAAGATGCCCAAATGCGATTTGCCATAGCAGCAATTTTCTTCTCAAAACAAGAGGTATATTAGCATATGCTACTCCTATCTTGATCAAAAGAAGGCCACTTCTAGCCTATATCAAAAAAGTTTAATTATTTATTTTTAAACTTTAAACACTTATCATATTCTCCTTTTTTGATCCAATTTGTAACTTTGACTTTCACTTTTTCCAGAATCCTTTTTCCTTTTTCTACTCGTGATTCCTCCTTTTCTATATTTATAACCATAACATTTTCCTTGTTTGCAGAGCTTCTTGGATTCTGTCTCTTAACTTTCCTTTTTTTCTTCTGTTGGTTGATTTCTTTTTCTTTTTCTCATTTGACCATTATTTTGCAACAAAACTTCCATAGCCTCTCATAAAAGTTTGACCAAAAAGAGTCTATGAACCAATTTACAACTTAGTTTGCTTTAAAATATAATTCTAGAAGTTTTTTTGCTTCAATGATATGCTTTTTACTAGTTAATCCTTGGAGGTGTGATTTTTTTCTTTGGATTTTGTCTTCTTGTTCGATTCCTAAAAAGATCTTAGCTAAGTTTTTACTGGATATTGAGATGTCCCATCTTTTTAAAATCTTGAGACCCAGCTCCTCTATAATTATTACTTCTACATGTTTCTAGATATTTTGATAGACTACACACTCTACAAGATAACTAAATATTTCTTTAGTTGTATAACAAGCTATACAGGTTTTACCTCTGTACAAATCAGATCTTCGTTGGAAGTATATATTACGAGTTGGCAATAGCTTATTCATACACTTAATTCTAAATATCAGAGCTTTGCTTTTTTTAAGGCTCGTGCCTCTTCTGCTCTGATAATGTTTAAACACCTCCTATGTACCTTTCCAATTTATATCTTCAGCTTCACCATTACCAGGTCTGGTATTAATTATATCTTTAGAACTGCTCAATTCTACTCATTCTGTACTATATGTTATAGCTGTTGCAATATTTACAAAAGACCTAATCAAGTAGTTTATAAGTTTGTCCTCCTATTTAAGTAGAACTCTAAGATTGTCAGTATTAACATCCTCTACTACAATAGATCTACTCAAGTTTAGGCCATCTTTTGCTAAAGTGCTAGCTATATTATTCCATCGGTTATTGCTATGCCCTTTAACTTTAATAAGGCTATGACTAATACCTTTTGCTTTGCAGCACTTATAAATTTGTTATATCAAACTTTGGTTTTTGGTTTTGAATATCTCATGTATGTTCTAACCTAGTCTTTCTTTTTGCAGTCTTTTAATCACTGCCTTACTATCTGAGAAGATATTTAGTTTTGAATTACAAAAGGCTGCTAGCACTGCTGTCTATATTGCACTGAGTTTAGCGTGAGTTAAGAAGAGCTAGTCTGCTAAACTACTACTAAATCTAATATACAGTAATCTATACAATTTGCTGCTTCGTGAGCTACTACTCAATCTATTCCTATTTTGCCACTCTCTATATTATCTATTTCTCTAGTTATAAGAGATCTATCTGTGTAAATATTCAAATTATCTCTACTTTGAAGCTTCTCTGCAATATTTTTTTTTTTTTTTTATTAATTGATAATATCAGTTAGGAAAAGAATTAGCATATTTATATATCAGGGTAGTATATATGTGAAGCTAATATATATTCCTAATATGCACTGTTATTACTAAGACTATTTGTTAATAGTTAGACATCCAGTGTGATATTATACTCTCATTTTCTATTTGCTAGCTGATTTAAACAAAGTTACTATTGACTGTAAAGGAGGTTAAGGGAGACCTCTAAGAAAAGAAGAAAATTAATTAGAAAAAACAATTATATATAGAAAAGTTTTGAAGTAAATATTTTTGAATATAAGTATCTATATTAGTATT